ACAGGAATGACTGCTGTGGACTGGGAACCACCACGGCTGGGATTGTCACTGACGGATGTACGGCCATCTTTGATACACTTGCACCATTCAAATGTCTTACTGCAGCTGAGGTCTCATAACCGCACTGTGCTTGAAGTCTTCTCTAGATATCCGTGGCTTTTACGCCTTTGTTCACAACAAACTTTATCACCACATGATGTACCATGCACACACTAACACTGTTGTCTGCCATCTTGATTAATGGTCTCTGGACTGGCCCTCGACATGTGCACTGCCTATCAGTAATGGAACACACTTGCCACTTACTGCTGTGTGTAGTACTGCCATGCTAGCATCCCTTTTTATACCTGTAATATTAAAAGACCCATTCTTGTATGTGTGTTCCTCAATGAAACAAAGGAGGACCATCTAGCGCTCTCCATTTAACAGCATTTATTGAAGATAAGTATACTCACATAACATATAGAAGACAACAAGGTAGGCCAAGCGCAGGAATTAGTATAAACAATGCAGTTTATTAGTAACTCACATAACATAATCAGTAAAAAAGCTTCTTCTAGAACAATGTCCGCTTCATATGCCCTCACATTGTTGCACTGTACATCAAATACAAAACCTGAACTGTACATGTTGTAGGCATGTTTACTTAATTGACTTTTATAGTGGTGCGCGTGCGTGAGACACAGATTGGTGCTAGCTGGCTCTTAAGTAAGAAAAAAAAAAAAACATTTATTGCTGCATGGGGAAATATTATTATTATAGGAGGATTTATATAGTGCCAACAGTTTGCTCAGCGCTTTACAATATAATGTGAGACAATACAGCAACAATACAGTTCAATACAAGAGGGAAAGGAGGGCCCTGCTCCTTAATATTTCACATTTCAATTTTAGAAATAGATTATTGCCATCTACACACATATACCAGTAAAATATCTATTACCAGGGCTAAATGCATGGGCATCAGACTTGTAAAGGTAAAGTGGATTTTTACACATAGCTTCACAGCTGCCATCTATCAATTGTCAGAATGCTATGATATGAAAGAGGGAGCCATACAGAGCTTACAACATCCTCTGTGCAGTTTCTGTTAGAAGGAATAGCATAAGGAATAGCACGGGTCATTAATAACTAATAGCATTACTACAAAATATTACTACTACTGGACGTAGCACAAAGCATCAGGGTCATCATACCTTGAGCTCCTGTCTAGAATATCTCTTTCCCTATATATTAGTCAGAGGGCTGGAAGCTGTATATGAGCCTCCCTCTTATTATTATTATACAGGATTTATAGAACGCCAACAGTTTGCACAGCACTTTACAAAATGAAGGTAGACATTACAGTTACAATACAATTTGGTACAAGAGGAAACAGAGGGACCTGCTCATTAGAGCTTACAATCTAGGAGGAAGGGTTGAAAGATACAAAAGGTAATAGCTGGGGGGGGGGGATGAGCTGATGGAGGATATAAATGGCTGTTTACTAGGTAGAAGCAGGATAGACTTCTTTAAAGAGAAAGGTTTTCAAGGATCGTCTAAAGGTGGATAGATTAGGAGACAGCCGGACAGATTGGGGTAGAGAGTTCCATAGGATGGGAGAAGCTCGGGAAAAGTCCTGGAGGGGAGCATGGGAGGAGGTGACACAGGAACTAGAGAGCAAAAGGTCTTGGGAGGATCGAAGAGAGCGGTTTGGTTGATATTTTGAGTCCAGGTTGGTGATGTAGCTGGGGGCAGAGTTGTGGTTGGCTTTGTAAGTTGTTGTTAGTATTTTGAATTTTATTCGTTGAGCGAGTAGAAGCTAGTGGAGGGATTGGCAGGAAGACCGGAAAGCCTGGCACTAACATGTTTTCCCATGCCTCTCAAGCAGTGTGTACACTCTATAGATAATCCTTAGCTGATTTGTTTACCTGACTCTTTAACTATGGCATGAAGCACACATGGGTGACACATGTCACAGAACTAACACCCACACTATGTAAGCCAATAGATTTCTCACTTGTTTTCCACAATCCCCACTTTACATAATGGACAATAATTGGTTACATCAATGTGACATGGTGATGGAAGAGTGACTAATCAGTAATCTACTAAAGAGATTAGGCCACATTCTGGAAGATCAGCTAAAGGTACACAGAAGCAGCCCCCTCTGTTCTTCACAACACTGGCCTGTGAATGGGTGCAATGAGAGTAACACATGCAGAGCAACTAATTTGATAAAATACACCTACAAGATGTTTGCATCCAGTATGAAATGTCTTTGCTCAAGCAACCAATAATTCTCATTGTATGTCCAAATCCTTCATAGCAACGTAGAAGGAAGTATGTGATTTTTTGCTAGGAGCAGCACAGACAGTTCTCATTTCAGATGCTAATGTTTGTTGTGCCAAGAAATGAAACCCCCACCTGCATAAAAGTGAAACTCCTGAAAAACTGTTTTGTTTGTAATATTTCTAATGTGTGCTTCCAGCATTTCCTGAATAATGTACAGGAAGTCACATGATGATGATTTACACAATTCAGAACTAAAGTGGAGCATCTGCTTTAAGCAAACAAAACTGTAAAGAACTCCAAATATGCATTTAAATATATAGTTGAAATTTAGGTATGTAAACTGCTTTACCTGCCAAAATATTTGTAATTTTGTTCAGCTATTCTTGCGATTCTCACACCTCTGCCATGCTGCATGGGCAAGCAGGTGACACCCTTATTTCCTGTGTTAACTTTGCATCTTCCTGTCAGCTCTCCATATTCAGCCCAATGACCAATAAATGCATCAGCAGCATCACCTCTGTCCAACAAACAGGGCAGTAAAACAGGCAGCACTAATACAGAACCATGAGGACTAGTGTGATCTTCCTGGTTATGTAGTCTGGTTGAGATGTATAAATTAAAGGAGACATACAGGCAAAGCTCTTTTGGCTGTACTTCTCATGTGGGCCACAGGAGTGCAGTTTGTTTTGCACTCCTGTGACCCGTGTGAAGTCCGCTGTCAGCTGAAGTCACTCAGCTGATGCAGGCTGGGGAAAGTTCCCGACTTCAAAGTCAGGAACCAGCCCAGAGTCTGGAGCAGCAGCTGGCTCAGGTTCTCAGGAGGGAAGGGAGGGGTGGGTGGAATGAAGGAAGAAGTTGGTGGAAAGAAGAAAGGAAGGAAGGGAGCAGTGGAAGGATGGACTGGAGGAAAGGAGGGGTGGATGGAAGGAAGGAAGAGTGAGTGGAAGGAAGGAAGAGTGAGTGGAAGGAAGGGAGGTGGGAGGGGAAAGAGGAAGGAAGGGTGGGTGGGAGGAAGGAAGGGTGGGTGGGAGGAAGGAAGGGTGGGTGGGAGGAAGGAAGGGTGGGTGGGAGCAAGGGGTGGGTCTGAGGGAGGGAGGTGGAAGGAAGGCAGGGAGGGAGGGTGGAAAGGAAGGAAGGAAGGAAGGCAGGCAGAGAGGGAGGGTGGGTGGGTGGGTGTAAGGAAAGAAGGGAGCTTGGGGTGGCAGGAAGGAAGGTAGTTCGGTCGGACTAACATGCTCATTCAGAAGCATCAGAGCCGTCGGCTGCTCTGTGTTCAATTTCCCACCCACACATCCTCTAAAGCTGCAGGGGCTGGAGTGTGGGCGGGCACGGGGAGGCAGAGCAGATCCAGCTTCTCCTCCCTCTTTCTTCAATGAAACAGCTGGAAGCCACGGGAGAGGAGGAGAATTTGCTTCCAGCTGCTTCACTGAAAGACATACAGGAGATCCCGGCTTGTCACCTCTACACAGGTCATCATATCTGATCGTTGTTTCTTTCCTGCTTCCCCCCGCTGTGTGCTCCTCAGTGCCTAGCCCCTCCCCCTATCCACCACACCAATAGGAAACTGGGCACTGAGAAACAAAACGGGGGTGGGCCAGGAAAGAAATGGAACGATCAGGTATGATTTGTGCAGCGGTGACAAGCAGCGATCTTCTGTATGGCTTTCATTGAAGCAGCTGGAAGCCGGTTCGCCTCTCCCTCCTGTGGCTTTCAGCTGCTTCATTGAAAGCCACAGCCTCCCTTCCCACACACCGCTAGTCACCATCTTATTTTCACTGGCCCAATGCAAGCGGGCGAGTGGAAATTTCGAGGACTGTGTACACACACACACACTTTCCCCAAAATTAAGACCGGGTCTTATATTAATTTTTGCTCCAAAGATGCTCTAGGGCTTACTTTAAGGGGATGTGTTATATTTATTAACATACAACAATCTACATTTATTCAAATACAGTTATGTCATCTTCGTCTGGAATATCGTCATAACTCTCCAGATTCAAACCCTGAATTCCAGCCTGAACTTCTCTCGACTCCAATTCCTGTAGAATAAATGGTCGGCAATCCATTCACAGATGATGTCTTCTAGCTCAGGAAATAATGCTAACCTGATCCACACTTGCGTTTAACATTTCCCTCATCCACCTGTTGACTGAGCTTATTGCACTCTACCCACTATTTTCGTTCCATGCGGAGATCCAACCTCTTCTATTTGCAGAAAGCCATGAGATTCTTGCCCTGGGAGTCCTCCTCCATGCACTTGATGGAATATCTCTTTTTGCACTCATCTTGTCCACAGTTTGCAGCTTATGATGTGAACAGTGACGTACATAATATATTGGGAAAATACGAGTACAGTACTTTTTAGGCCGATCTTGACAAGGGCTTATTTTTGGGGTACGGCTTATATTACAGAGCAGCCTGCAAATCATGCTAGGGCTGATTTTCGAAGTAGGTCTTATTTTAGGGGAAACACAGTGTGTGTGTACACACACACACACATACACATATACACATACACACACACACATACATACATATATAAAATGTGTTGCAGACCATTGTTATTGGCAGTAGGATTTCTGCACCCACTTGCATGCTTTTTTGGTACTTCTACTTTTATGTGCGCATTCTTGCAAACATTTGTTTTGTATAAATAAATATTATATACAAAAAATAATGGGACATTCAAACAATATATACTTTGAATTCTTTATCTACTTCAGTTACCTGTGGCTGAAAGTCTACAGGTTCTAGTCCTCGACACTCGAACTCCACTATAGTCTTAAATTTTTCACTATCTTCAGCCTGAGCAAAACCAAAAACAACAGAATGAAAGTAGAGTTTAGCAGCAGCAGATAGTGGTTTCCATCACGAAATGGAGAAAAGGAAAGCAACATCCTGACACTCAGGTACTCACATTGTACGGGTGCATGGAAGTGCTCAGTATATCTGCATTAAAAAAGAAAAAGGAAATTTACAGTCTTGTTAAAGTTTGCATGTGGCTGAACTCCAGGCAAGCTTCTAGATACAAAATTGAAATACATATGGGAAGAGCTTAAAAGGTTTTAAAATGTTGTGCAGGCAGTTTAGTGATCCAGACACCCTTGTAAGATAACACAGTCAAAGCAACACAACTTGACGAAGAACAGACCCCCTAGCTTGTTGACTGGGGAAGAGGAGAGCAGCAGCAGACTGATGATATAATCCCTTTGCTCTCTTCTCTTTCCTCCTGTCATCGTGTTCAGGGTAAGCACAGTCTACTTGTCTCCCAGTGCTGCCCTTCTGTCTCACAATCAGAGTGTTGCCTAGGCAGGGGAATTTTGGGGGGCTGGACAATATCAGGTACTTACACTAGCTGTATTTTAAACAGAAATAAATGCACGGATTTACAGTAGAATTACAGACAAAACTTTTTTTCAGTTTGGATAGAGCAAGGGATGGTAATAACCACTGTCAGATTTTTTTCGCCATTTGTGTCTCATTGTGGAGATTTCTCTTCACTTCCTGTCCCATAGCTAAACAGGAAGTGAGAGGAAATCCCTGCAAATTAAGGAAATTCCTTGGGGACCCTCAGGTCAACAGAACTAGTATTCCCATTTCTGGGGACAACCCAAAATTTGGATTTTCTTTCACTTTCAATAATAACAGTAAACAGGACAAATAGAGAGGGTGAATCTCCTTAAAGCGGAGCTCGACCCAAAAGGGGAAGTTCCACTTTAAGGACTGCTCTCCTGCTCCCCATTAAGGATTGGCACCTTTGGTGAGCGGGTACCCGAATTTGACAGGTATCCGCTCCCACTTCTGGTCAGATCGCCCAGGCGATCGGAAACGGAAGGTGTCCTCCCTCCCTTCCTGTAGTCTTCTGGGACACGTGACAGGTCCCAGAAGACTACAGGACCATTCATGAAGCGCAGCGCTACTCGCACATGCGCAGTGGTTACCCAGCTGTGAAGCCACAAGCTATCACAGCCGGGTGCCCACACTGAAGATGCTGGCCTCCTGGAATACAGGATGGCTGGTGAAACGAGCTGCGGGGGACACACCACGGGACTGAGGGACAGTTTTTGTAGCTGCTGTCTTGCATTTTTTAATAGGTTGAGTGGAACTCCTCTTTAACAGGATGAATAGGTGTACTAATCTCTCTGCACTTTATCCAAAACTAAGAAAACAAAAAGAAAAAAAGAGTTTTGCCTTTAGTTATATTTGAACCGTTTCCTAAAACAATTACATTCAAGGCAGGTACCTGGTGAAAACAGTAACCAGAGTGCTTATATTAGCTCTTAATGGAACTTTCAAGCCCCCAAATGGCTGCTGTCATAGACGGCCATATGTGCAAGCAGCATGGCGACTGCAGATGTAAAAGAAGGTTAAGATGGCTCTGTCACCAGCTGTAAAAAGGATAGGAAGGTTTAGATCCACTTTAAACATAAATTTAATGATTTGTTTAAACAGAAACACAACTGCATCAATTGGTGTTTTTATATCTGCCTGGAGTTAAAGTTTTAGAAAAAAGTGCATTGTTTGTAATTACATACTGTATGTACTGTACATGGGACAGCCATGTTTGATCTTTAAATATACAGAAGAGGCTTCCTTAGCAGCGCTGTACAAAGCTGGCACTTTATTATTCTTCTCTTTCAGAGCAGGACAGTCAGTTCAGAGACAAAGTCAGTTCAGAGACAATTCAATCTCCTGCAAAATTCAATATAAAGCTGAACTCCAGGCACATATAAAATATACAAATTAATCCAGCTCTGTATTCAATAACATCATTTAAGAGGACCTTTACATTTTTAATCAGTACCCACTCCCACTTCTGCAATCCTCGCCTAGTCGAGGATGATGTCTCTTTTTCTGCCCCCTCCCACCCGCAGTCTCCTGAGTCATGTGACGTCACATATGCCAAGAGGCTGTAGGACCATTCACAAAGCGCCACGCGTGTTCATGTATTCACAGTGAGGATTTGGCTGTGATTCTGCAGTAAACTACAGCTGGCTCCCATATCCAAGATGGTGGCACTAGTTACCCACAGTAATAAGAACTGGCTGTGGGAAGACAGTGCTGGACCTCAGACAACGGTAACTAGCTGATTTTTAAAAGTCAGCAGCTACAGTATTTGTAGCTGTTGACTTAAAAAAAATAAACTGAAGTTCCTCTTTAAGTGTTTTTTTTTTTTAATGTAAGCAGTGTAAGTACCTGAATTTGACCTGGTATCAGCCTCTTGCAGTCCTTGTACAGCAGAGCTCAGACTGCGAGAGTGAGAAGCAGCATAGAGCCAATCAATTGTTCTGCAGTGCAAAGATCATGCTGATAGGAGCAAACAGCAGAGTGAAAGATTAGCTCAACAGCCTTCTGCTTCTCCTGCATGAAGAAGTAACAAGTGTTCAGTAACAAGTGTTACTGAACTTCAGCAGAAAAATGTCAGGTCTGGATGGACAGAAACATAAATCTTTGGGCATATAACACAGCTTCCAAATATGTATTTCATTGGTGTATTTCTCTGTTTTGCTGACCTTTAGTCAGCAGTAAGGATGTTATTGGCTGTCTTTTTTGCAGTTAAGTGCAATTGAGGGGAAAATGATGGACATTTGTAAGACAAACATATAAAAATAAAAACCTTCCTTCTTCTAAATGTTTAAATAACTCAAAATCATCTCAAACATTCACTCTTTCTTCCTTTTATCGCACTCCTCTCCTCCGAATTCTTAGGATGTAGTACATGGAGACTCACCAATAGAGTTTTCCCGGGAGCACAGCTTACACTTCTGTACCATGCTGGCACTGCCTCTGCCTCCTTTCAGAGGGGTGCTGTCCTGCAGGTGACAGTATGAAATGTCCCATTAATACCAGCAAAGAAATATTCCACAGGTAAACAAATGCCACTTCCATTTCAGGAAATCAACTTCCAAGCTGCATTCAGAAACTGTCTACCCTAATCTGTTCTTGAACGCTCAGGACTGTCCATTAGAAAATCAATACAAACACATGACATAGTGGGGTTTTTTGTTTTTTTTTTCATATGTACAATAGCACTATACCAGCGTTCACAATAGTATAGTGTCCCCCAAAAACGCAGCATTAGCGGGATCAGCCCCAGCACCTTCCAGCACCTGCGTTTAGCCCCTACGCTTACCTCCCCCCCTTTCCCCCAGCAAGTGCAGTGTCAGTAGGTCACTGTCACTTGATACATTGCACACAAAACAGCAGTGTTCGCAGAATCAGAATAATGTTTTCACAGCAGTCCCTTACAGCCAGGTGATCTTTTTCCTGTGAGTCGCACTAGGTACCTATAAATTTAGTGGCCAAATTGTCAATGGAAAGGTACACTAGTGAAGAGGCCTTCAGGATTCTGAGCATGTCAGGTGAGAGTGAAGGGGAAGACTCCCTGACACAATCAGCCTCAGAATACGAACCTGTAGACAGCATCAGCACCCTGACAGATAGCTCAGACTATGGAGAAGAGGTCCCTGCTAAGATCAGGAGTACCCGACCCCATTCCCAGGTTGCTGAGATGTTCCAAACGCATGATGACTCTCATATGCAGCAGAGGGCCAGTACTAGTGCCACTCTACCTTTTGGTGAACTGGCGAGCACCAGTGGCCTAGTACATCCTGGTCTTTCACATACCAGCTCTGCAGTATCACTTGGCGAGTCCCATAAGTGCAGTACAAGCTGGTGTGGTGGCGAGCACAAGTATTGTCCCGCAGCCACCAAGAATTCACACACAGGCCCATAGAGCCCCTAGTATCCTTCCGGATGTGCTTGCAAGTCCTTGATTGACAGCCCACAAATTATGCAGCACCCGTACTTCCCCAATTCACTGCCCAACATGGAATTCAGGTGGAAACAGCAAATTTAACCACTTGAGCTCCAGAGGATTTATCCCCCTTAATGACCAGGCCTCTTTTTGCTACTCGGCGCTGCACTAATTCAACTGATAATTGCTGGCGGTCATGCAATGCTGCACCCAAACGAAATTTACGTCCTTTTTTTTCACACAAATAGAGCTTTCGGTGTAATTTGATCACCTGTGCGCTTTTTATTTTTCACGCTATAAAAAAAAAAGGCCAAAAATTTTGAAGAAGAAAAACAATATTTTTTATTTTCAGCTATAAAAAAAAATATATAGTAAACTCAAGTTGGTTATAAATTTAGGCCAAAATGTATTCTGCTCCTGTTTTTAGTAAAAAAAATCCCAATAAGTGTATATTGATTGCTTTTTGTGGAAGTTATAGCGTCTACAAACTATGGTATAAATACTGCAATTTACGCCATTTTTCTGCTATACAGCGCTGCGCTAGTTTAACAGACAATTGCGCGGTCATGCAATATGGTACATAAATTAAATTTACATCCTTTTTTTTCCCCACAAATTTAGCTTTCGGTGGTATTTGATCGCCTGTGCGGTTTTTATTTTTTGCGCTATAAAAAAAAAAGGCTGACAATTTTGAGGAAAAAAAAAAAAATATTTTGGACTTTTTGCTATAAAACATGTCCAGTAAAAAAAAAAATGCAAAAATCAAATTTAGTCATAAATTTCTGCCAAAATGCATTCTGCGACATGTCTTTGCTAAAAAAAAAAAAACCCAATACGTGTAAATTAATTGGTTTACGTGAAAGTTATAGCGTTTACAAATGACGGGAAAGATACTGGGATTTTTAGGGGTTTTTTTTATACTAATAATGGCGGCGATCAGCGAATTATGGCAGCGACTTATGGCGGGACTGCGGCGGACATTTTGACATTGGGGGGGTACTGACTTGGGGTAACTGACATCCCCAAAAACACTAATACAGTGATCAGTGCAAAAAAAAAAAAACTGACACTGTACTAATGGCACTGGGGAGGAAGGGGTTAACTTTATTTTGCAGGGAAGGGTTATAGGAGTGAGGGGAGTGTTTTACTAGGGGGCGGGGGTGTGTACTGGGCGGGACAAGGCTGATGGAGAAAGAGAAAAATTGTTCTTTCTTGATCAGCTCATCCTCGAGCTGACAGGGAAGTGACAGACAGCACAGCTACTGCAGCTGTGCTCTCTGTCACTGTTTGCTGCCGATCACCGGGACATAGCCGCTAAGGAGCGGCTGTGAACCGGCGACTGACATCTGCGGCAGTGAACCGCGCAAAAAATAAAAAAAACAAATAGGGCGGCGGCGCTGCTCGCGCGCGCCCCCTATTTAATTACAAAACACACGTTTTAAAACGCGGTTTTGCCTGTGAGTGCCGCCCTGCTGCTGTATATGTACAGTGGCTGGGCGGCATGCGGTTAACTACTCCCCTTGATTTTTTTGGAGCGGTTTTTCACAGATCTGTATGCATTGATTGTGGATCAAAGCAATTTATATGCACAACAGTTTAAAGAGTGAAAATAAATAGTGAAGCGCTTGAATATCATGATATTAAAAAATTTTTACATTCAAAAATGGTGCTGAATATATACTCTTTGTAAAATGAAATACATGAGAAAAATAATACTAATACACATTAATACCCCCTCCCAGTAGGGAAAGTAAGGTGGTGCAACAAATTATTTAAAAAATTTATAAATTATCGCACGCAGTGAAAAAGCTATTTAAAGTGCATATAAAAATAATCCACAAAATCTAAGTGAATAATAAATGAATTGAACCAGTGCATAAAACCACTCATAATATATTAATTAATCCACTTATATTGGTGCCATATACAAAACAAACAAGGTTCGTCATTTCCGGTGACGCTTGTCTGGACGCCGCGGCCATATTGGATTCCCATGGCCAGGCATAGATATGAGAATATAATGCATTTTATGTATTTTAACAACAACACACACTGTTGCCCTCGGGGTGACCCTGAATTTGACCGGCTCCACAAAATTCGGCCCCCTCATAAATCACCTTAACCAAAAATTTGCAGATGTCTATACTCCCCTGAAAAAATATCTGTGTTGATGAGTCCCTCATTACATTTTCTGGCCGCCTTGCATTCAAACAATTTCTCCCCAGCAAGCGTGCCAGATATGGGGTCAAGATGTATAAGACCTGTGAGAGGGAAACAGGCTATACATATAAGTTTCGGATTCATGAGGAAAAGCGTAGAGCCCCCCGGATGCCCAGACTACAAGGGGAGCAGTGACAAGAAAGTTTGGGACTTGGTGTCATCCCTTTTTCCATATGGGGTACCACTTATACGTGGACAATTTTTTTTCAAGCATGCCACTATTTAGACATTTGTTACAATCTTGGAATTGGCGCATGTGGCACCGTGCGACCCAATCGCCAGGGCTTCCCCTAATGGCTTGTCAGGAAGGGGGGTAAATCCTCAGGAGGGTAAGTGGTTAAAGTCCTACGTGCATTCAATTTGGTTTATGTATGTATGTATAAGGGATGTAGGCATAGCACTTAGGTATCAGATCAAAAACTATTTATTTGTGACCTGCATTTTTCCCTCACTGGATGAACACAGGTAGCTGCAACACCACATAAAAAAGAGTTGTTTTTCTGTGTATGTTGAAGTCCTGAAAACTGTGACAGTGCATTGAATATGAAGTGTGTTGAAGTGTTAACCGATTCCCATCTGCCCTATAGCAGAAATACAGGGCAGGTATATATACAAGATTTTTGCATTTCCGGGTAGGGGGCACGCGGTCCTGGCCGGTGATTTCTCGCCGGCGTCTGGCGATTGCCAAGCATCTCCGACGGGGGGGTAGAACTGTTAGTAAACAAAAAAGTTTTCCTCCCTATCGGCTTGTGCACACTGCTTTGAATGGCTGTGCACAGCACAGCCATTCAAAGCAGTGTACGTACAATGAAGCACACATACACAGCACACAGTTAACCCTTTGATCGCCCCACATGTTAACCGCTTCCCGCCCATTGTGCTATTAGTACAGTGTCAGTGCTTTTTATTAGCACTGATCACTGTATTGGTGTCACTGGGGATGTCAGTGATATCAAGTCAGCTCCCCCAAGTGTCAGAAATCCCACGGCAGTACCGCTATAAGTCGCTGATCACCGCCATTACTAGTATAAAAAAAAAATCCCAGTATGTATATCGCCATTTGTAAACACAGTAACTTTCACGTAAACCAATTAATTTACACATATTGGGATTTTTTTTAGCTAAGACATGTAGCAGAATACATTCTGGCCTAAATTTATAACGAAATTTGATTTTTAAAATTTTTTACTGGACATGTTTAATAGCAAAAAGTAAAAAAAAATTTTGTTCTCCTCGAAAGTGTCAATTTTCAAAACGCTCAATTTGTGAGTAAAAAAAGACATCATCTTCATTTGGGCTTTGCATGACCACGCAATTGTTAAAGTAACGCAGTGCCATAATGCAAAAAATAGGCTGGCCAGGAAGGGGGGTACATCCTCTGGAGGGCAAGTGGTTAAAAATGCAACTTGTTTGCATTTTCCCACACTGCGTGTGAATGCACTGCTTTGCAATGTGATGAATGAAGTGTCAATAAACGACTTGTCAAATAATGATGAAAAAAAAAAGAAACACACATCCCCCCCCCCCCCTTGTTGGAGACCACGCTGCACTAGTCTGCCCTGTGAAAAGCTGTGTTTTACTGTGCAGATTAGTGTAAACTAAAAGGAAGCAAAGGGGTGGGGTCAAATTACATTACCCAGTGACCACGCCCCTTAGTTTCCTTTAGCTCAGGGGAAAGTGACAGATCATTCTCTGAGCTATGGTGAAGGGAAAAAAAAGCTGGTAATTACATTTAAAAACTGCCACTGACATATAGTGACAGCCAGTGAGGGATCCTCTCTGTATACACTGCTCCCTCACTGTATACTCTGCCCTTCTCCTACCTTGCACACACTGCCCCCTCACCCCTTACAAAGAGGACCTGTCACTTATATGCTATAGCAATAAAATCACAAGTTAAAAAAAAATATATATATAAAAAAAAATATATATATATATATATATATATATATATATATATATATATATATATATATATATATATATAGATATATATATATAAATAGATAAATTGAAAATCAATTGCAGCCTCCCCACCCCCACAAACGTAGACATTTCGGTTCTGATTCGGTTTTCGGCCACATGCATGCTGAATTTTCAGTATTGGTACCAGAATTTTAATTTCGGTGCACCACTAGTATAAACCTAGCCTTATGGAATACTCTGAAGGTTAAGGGAGTCTGAAAAATCTGCTCAATGTATGCAAATATATTGGCTGTCAGTGAGATGTGACTGCACATTGGTTGGAGGCTGATGGTGCTCTTTTCCCATTCTCAGAATGTGGCCAGCACTCACTGACAAATCATCTGCTTCTGTAGAGCAGTAAGTTCCCGGGCACAGCAGTACAACTTGTCATGCGATTTGATCATTTCAAATCGCATGACAAGTCGCCCCCTATTGTCCGCAATGGAAGTGGTCATATTGGTGCGATTCCGACTCCTTCAGGGTCGCACCAGTTTTGAAAGTACTTCATGTACTACTTTTCAGGTGTGACTTGCATAGACATCTGTGTATGAAGTCTCGTCTCACACATGTCTTCCAAGCCTCACCTGAAGTCGGACTGACATCCGACTTAGAAATCATGCAATTTCACTTAAATTCGCACGATTTCAAAGCCAGATTTGGTGTGACCGAAGACTGTGTATGTAGTTGTTTATATAAGTCACAGTCACCTCCTCCTGAACAATTATTAGTCTATGTATATGTTCTACAACTCACCATTAGCGTTATATACTGCCATTTGTCTGACACCTCTCCGCAGTTCCCACACTTCAGCTATGAGAGGAAACAAAAAAGAAATTGTTGTATCTGAAAATGGTAAAGTTCAATGCAGGGTCTGTAATTATTATTTAGTATACAAGCATCAGAAGAAAGAATAAATCATAGGATTCAGCCTGATTTGGATTTTTTAGCAATAAAATCATAAAACCTGGTCCTCAATCAGTGTCTGAAATCAAACATCTCTGTTTTTTATTACTTATATAGTGCAGACAATTTACACAGCTCTATATATATATATATATATACACACATACACATGATTGTATGGTCCCATCAGTCCTTTGCCCTTAAGCTTACAATGTAAAGGTCCTAACTCCCATTCATACTTACACATACTACGGCCAATTTAGACAGGAGCCAAGTAACCTTTCAGCATGTCTTTAGAGTGCAGGAGGAAACCTGGAGAATCCAGAGGAAACTCATCCAGGCACAGGGAGTGCATGCAAACTCCATGCAGGTAGTACAATGGTTAGGATTAGAACCGACAACCCTAGCGCTGCCAGGAGGAAGTGCTAACCAATGAGCCACAGTGCTGCCCACATAGTAAATCTCTGTTGAAAAAAAGATTAATATGAAATTTCACTCTCTCAACCAACATTGACTATTTTTAATCCTTATGCTGCTAGCATTAGTAAATACGAGGGGCGACTGAAAAGTTCTCAGCCTACCCATGAAGCAGTTACTGAAGACTGAAGCGCAGAAGGTCATCATTGTCTGAAAGATGAAGAAAGTGAGCAAATGTGCTGTTATCCAATACCTGCTGAAAAAGGGAATGAGTGGACAGGACATCCACAAGGACATGATGGAAACATTAGGGGAGGATGTCCCTTCCTATTCCACCATTAAAAAGTGTGGGTGGCAGAATTCAACAGGGGGAACCCCTCTGTCCAAGATGCCCCTCGCAGTGGAAGGCCAGAAACTGCCTGTATGGAGGAAAACATCACAGCAATCCAGGATCTGGTAATGGCAGACAGGCGTGTGACAGAACGTTGCACCGCAGAGAAAGTGGGCATATCCCAGGAACATATTGGACACATTTAACAGTAGTGCTGGACATGCACAAGGTGTCAAGTCGGTGGGTCCCGAGAATGTTGACTGTTGAAAACAAACGCGACAGACAGCAGCTATTGGATAACAGCACGTTTACTCGTTTCTCCATCTTTCAGACAATGATGACCTTCTGCGCTTCAGTCTTCAATAACTGAAACAAAGAAAAAGCTATTTGTGAGAAATTTGGTATGGAACCTTGCAAAGATAAGTACTAAGAGTAGCAAAAAAATAAAATTGGGCCAAGACAAATGCTTCATGGGCAGGCCGAGAACTTTGCAGTCGCCCCTCATAGATAGGATATTTGCTTATTTTAAACTTTTTGTTTTGTACATTTCTTCAGTTACTTCATGGTTTCCATGCCTAGGCAAATGACATCATACATACCAGGAGTCTCCAGGAGGGAGGAGGGGTATTCTCACTTTATTAGGTACACCTGTTCAACTGCTTGGTAAGACAAATTGCTAATCAGCCAATCACATGGCAGCAACTCAATGCATTTAGACATTCAGACATGGCAAAACGACTTGCTGAAGTTCAAACCAAGCATCAGAATGGGGAAGAAAGGGGACTTCAGTGACTTTGAACGTGGCATGGTTGTTGGTGCCAGACTGGCTGGTCTGAGCATTTCAAAAACTGCTGATTTACTGGGATTTTCACGGACATCCATCTCTAGGGTTTACAAAGAATGGTCCGAAAAAGAGAAAATATCCAGTGAGCGGCAGTTGTGAGGACTAAAATGCCTTGTTGATGTCAGAGTTCAGAGGAGAATGGGCAGACTGGTTGCTGTGACATTCACATGGTAGGGTCAGAATTTGGCATAAACAACATGAAAGCATGGATCCATCCTGCCTTGTATTAACAGTTATGGTAGGTGGTGGGTGGTGTAATGGCATGGAGGATATTTTCTTGGCACTAGCAAGGTGTACCTAATAAAGTGGCCGGTGAGTGTATGCAGAAGTGGAAACTTCAGTGCTTGTCTTGATAAGCCAAGATCAGGTAGACTAAGAAAGATTGAAGCCACAACATCCAGAAGAAAAACCCACAGGTAACCACAGGAGAAATACAGGCTGCTCTGGAAAAAGATGGTGTCGTTTTTTTTTTTAAGAAGCACAATACGACGATATCTGAACAAATTGAGCTGCATGGTTGAGTTGCCAGAATGAAGCCTTTGCTGTGCCAATGCCACAAAAAAGCCTGGATACAATATGCCCGATAACACCTTCATGTGCCTCACAGCTTCTGGCACAGGACCAAAATAGAGCTAACTGACGAACTGCAAGATACGCTGACACTAATTGACACTAATATCACTATGATCCAATTTTTTAAATTATTTTTTCTAGGGGTACCAACAAAATCTGTCTGGGCCATATAAAGTATAACTAAATACAATTTTTTTTAAATTTTGCATACAGTGAAGAGAGAGTAGAACACCTGCTAAGTTTGTATTGCAGTCTGTGCCCCATTTAGGTAGATTCACTCTATTTCTGATGTTTACTGTTATCACGAAAATGAAAGTAAAAGAAAAACCCAAATTTTGGGTTGTCCCCTGAAAAGTAATAGAGGGGAAATTTTCCAAAAGGGACGCTAGTTCTGGTGAGAACCAGGAATTCCCTCAATTTAGAGGGATTCCCCCCCACTTCCTCTTTTTGGCTACAGAACAGGAAGTGAAGGGAAATCTCCCCAACAGGTCATAGATTGCAAAAATAAAACTGTCGGGTTATAACCCCCCCTTACTATATCCAAAAAGAAAAAAAGTTAGTATGAACTACCCTTTGTACCACCTCCCCCTCCCTTTAGATTGTAAGCTCCATGAGTAGGGCCCTCTTATTCCTTCTGTATTGGAATGTAATGTAACTCTACTGTCTCCCTTTATTTTGTAAAGTGCTGTGCAAACTGTTGGCAATATATAAATCCTGTATATATATCCTGTAAGATCTCTGTAGAAAAAGTCATAATTTATCTTTTTACTTGTTTGCTTTACTCTACAACATTCCAAAGGTGTGCAGGTATACATGAGATCATTGCTTTTAAATTTCATCACATTTCAGGAGGAATGAACCATTGTTTCAATGAGCTGTAGGGGTACCAAAAAATGTGTCCATGGGTGTAAGCCAAGAGAAGCCTTCTCTACATCAGTCTCAATAATTGTAAAAGAATTGACAGGCTACATTTCCAAGGTTCTGGTCTAGCCAGGAAATTTGCAACTTCAATACTAAAGTAAGGAATTTTGCCAAGTGATGTAATAATAATACTGGATTGCATTTCTAGATAAATGACACCAATATCTGTATTCTCTCACCTTCAGAAACCAGCGGAAGTCATCTCCTACTGGCCGAAGCCGGGTGATGTTCTCAAGATTGGCCTTGAGCTGTAGTGCAAATTTCTAGATGAAGGAGAAAGAAAGAAAGTATGATGGCATTTGAATAGACGCAGCAGAGAGACAATTTCCATTTTTGATAGAAGCTGGAGAGTTATGATTCTAATGACAACTTGTAAGGGACTCTACCCTCTTCCCTCCTACTTGCCTGCAATGTACTGCAGACGGGCAGCCACTGTAGGCAAATTAACATACAGGTGCGTCGTTGTCTACTTCCAGGTTTCGGGTGCATGCGCACCCCCCCCCCCCCCTGCTGGCACCCGCTGTGATTGTACACAACAGGAACCTGTCAGCAAGTCCTGGGCAATGATTCATGGTTGGGACCTGCTGATCGGCTGTGAACGATCACAGCCCAGAACTCTGTGTTTGTAAACAACACAGAGCTCTGTACAGAGGGAGCGATCTGTAAATTTCTCATCCTTGCATCCCGAGAAACTGAGAGGTCTAGTAAGAAAAGCACCACACTTTACACATAGTTATGGACACATTTAACCCCTTGATCGCCCTAGATGTTAACACTTTCCTAGCCAGTGCCGATAGTACAGTGACAGTGTATAGTATTATTACTGATCACTGTATTAATGTCACTGGTGATGTCAGTGAAAGTTAGTGTCAGATTGCCTCCACTGCATTCCCAATATAAGTTGCTGATCGTGGCCATTAGTAGTATAAAATAAATTCCAGTATACAATATATACCATAGATTTAGGCACTATAACGTTCACACAAACCACATTAGTTATTGGAATTTTTTTTATTAAAAGACATGTAGCAAAAAAACATTTTGTCTAAAATTTATGAAGAAATTAGATTTTTTAAAATTTTATTGGATATGTTTCATAGCAGAACATAAAAAATATTGGTTTTTTTTCTAAAATTTCTGGCTTTTTTTGTTTATATTGCAAAAAAAAATAAAAAAAAACCCAGTGGTGATCAAATATCATCAAAAGAAAAAAAATGATATATATTTTGTTTGGCATTGCATGCTTTGTTTTAACCTTATGCTTACCACGTAAGATGTGTGTTGCGGCAAGGAGGGTGGGCCTTAATGCCCACATGCCGCACATTTGCATCCATGGCAGCTGAGGTTTCTGTTCTGACAGAATGCTCACTGCAAGCTCCCAGCGTAGTTACTGAGCTGTCACTGACAGCCCCCAGTCTCTAAGTATGATTGGGAGTCAGCCAGGTGGGCTCCTGATCATGTGATCGCTATGACAGTGAATCACAGTGGTCACATGAACAGGAAGGCCATCCTTCCACTCGCCTTACAACCCAGTTAAGGGCAGCAATGGGTGGGAAGGGTTACTATATCATTTTTTCACACTTGGATCTCTTCTTAAGAGAAGGGAAACATTAAAGCAGCCATTGCCAATGCTAGAAGGACTTTTTACCAACCTTTTTGCAAACTTGTTCCAGCTGATTGACTGAGAAAGTACTGAATTCAGAGTGTTGGCACAACAGTCAAGCAACTAGCATTGTCAGATGTAGCTCAGCAGTGATGACCACTGTGCTTTTTTAATGAAAGATTTACTTAAAGGGCCCATTTACATTTATGGAGTGTGCTAATTCATGTGTGTTAAATCACACATTACCGTGAATTAAGGCCGCCAATTAAAGTAGAACTATAGGCAAAATGTTTTTTTTTTTTCATTTTGGATAAAGCAGAGGAGAGTTATAACCCCTGTCAGATAATGTTTCGCAGTCTGTGTCCTATTGTGGAGATTTCCCTTCACTTCCTGTCCAATAGCCAAACAGGAAATCCCTGCAAATTAAGGGAATTCCTTGGGGACCCTCAGGTCACCAGAACTAGTGTCCCCCATAAGAAGATTTCTTCTCTATTACTTTTTTGGGGACAACCCAAAATTTGTGATTTTCTTTTACTTTCAATGATACTGGTCAATAGGACAAATAGAAAGGGTGAATCTCCTTAACAGAGGCACAGACAGCAATAAAAACTGAGAGGGATTCTAAACCGTCTCCATACTATACAAAACTAAAAAGAAGAAAAAAAAAAAAAAAAAGTTTTGCCTTTAGTTATAATTTAAATACAATTGAAATCTGATGCATCAAAATATCTCCAAAAATTGGACAACACTACACTACAGTATGCTGCCATGCATTGCAGCACATCACAACGCAAATATGCTGCCTTTGTGCATTGGAGTGCTATTCAAAATGAATGACCCTGCAATGTGTCAATGTATGTTGCTGTGCACTGCGTTGATGTGCGTGCTGTTGCAACGCTCAGACTAAAGTTGACCCCTATAGGTTTATATGGAATAATAGGAAAGAATGTCCAAAAGAATGCAAGTTTGATGGCATTTATTGGGGATAACAACAATAACATCAATATAACACATTTCAGGAGAAGGGACTCTCCTTTTTCAGGGCTATTGAACAACTACTAAAAAGTATACAAAAAAACAGAGTGGTCAGACGTTTCCTGTAGTTGGCCACCAGGTTTGCGCACATCTCAGGAGGGATTTTGGCCCACTCCTCTCGTCAGATCCTCTCCAAGTAATTAAGGTTTGGTGGCTGACGTTTGGCAACTCAAACCTTTAGCTCCCTCCACAGATTTTCAATCGGATTAATGTCTGGAGACTGGCTAGGCCACTCCAGGATCTTAATGTGCTTCTTCTTGAGCCACTCCTTTGTTGCCTTGGCCATGTGTTTTGGGTCATTGTCATGCTGGAACACCCATCCACGACCCATTTTCAATGTCCTGGCTGAGGGAAGAAGATTCTCACCCAAGATTTGACGGTACATTGCCCCGTCCATCGACTCTTTGATGCAGTGCAGTTGTCCTGTCCCCTTAGCAGAAAAACACCCCCCAAAGCAGAATGTTTCCACCACCATGTTTGACAGTTGGGATGGTGTTCTTGGGGTCATAGGCAGCATTCCTCCTCCTCCAAACACAGCGAGTTGAGTTGATGCCAAAGAGCTCGATTTTGGTCTCACCTGACCACAACACTTTCAACCAGTCCTCCTCTGTATCATTCAGATGTTCAGTGGCAAACTTCAGACGGGCCTGGACATGTGCTTTCTTGAGCAGAGGGACCTTGCGGGCACTGCAGGATTTCAATCCTTGTCAGCGTAGTGTGTTACCAATTGTTTTCTTGGTGACTGTGGTCCCAGCTGCCTGGAGATCATTGACAAAATCCTCACGTGTAGTTCTGGGATGATTCCTCACTGTTCTCATGATCATTGACACTCCATGAGGTGAGATCTTGCATGGTGCACCAAACCTAGGGAGACTGACAGTTGTTTTGTGTTTCTTCCATTTGCGAATGATTGCACCAACTGTTGTCACCTTCTCACCAAGCTGCTTGGTGATAGTTTGGTAGCCCAGTCGAGCCTTGTGTAGGTCTACAATCTTGTCCCTGACATCCTTGGACAGCTCTTTGGTCTTTGCCATGGTGGAGAGTTTAGAATCTGATTGTTTGATTGCTCCTGTGGACAGGTGTCTTTTATACAGGTAACAAAATGAGATTAGCAGCACTCCCTTTAAGAGACTGATTCTAATCTCAGCTTGTTACCTGTATGAAAGACACCTGGTAGCCAGAAATCCTGCTGAATGATAGGGGATCAAATACTTATTTCCCTCATGAACATGCAAATCAGTGCATCATTTGTTAGACATGCATTACTTCTGAATTTTTTGTTGCTATTCTGTCTCTCAGTGTTACAATACACCTACCATTCGATTTTTAGACTGATCATTTCTTTGTGAGTGGGCAAACATTCAAAATCAGCAGGGGATCAAATACTTATTTCCTTCACTGTATATATATACAGGCAGTCCCCGAGTTAAGTACATTCGGCTTACGTAATACTCATACTTACGTACACTTCCCTCGGGACCGGAAGTCAAGCTGTCAGCATTCTTGTGCAGCAAGCTGATAAGAGACTAGCTGATAAGAGACATCAGAGAGACATAAGAGACAGAGACATCCATTGCTCGTTACTTGTGGGGCTAGCAGTGTCTGCCCACTATCTCCAAAGTGATTTAAGACTGTCTGTCTGCACCTCCGGGGAGAGGAAAGGAGAGGCTGTCAGGCTGCTCACTGAAGTGATCCTCCGTCTGTGCAGGGGGGAGGGGGCAGCGTGTGCTGTGTAAAGGAGAGCAGAGTTCTCTCATACAGTACATTACAGTACAGTGTATTTTTACCCTGCAATAATGCCTCCAAAGCAAAAAGCTGATGCAAGTGCTGGCACAGCAAAGAAAAGAAAAACAATCTCTTGGAAGATAAAGTAGAAATAATAAAGAGATCAGAGAGTGGTGAAAAATCATCATCCATTTGCAAAGCATATGGTTATGCTCCGTCAACAATTTCAACAATTTTAAAAGATAAGAGTAGAATAATGGAGCATGTAAAATGTAAAACATAAAAGTTAAATATGTTAAGGCAAACATGTGTCCAAGCTGCAGTTCTTATGCAAAACACCAGTTTAGAGCCTCTTGAGGTTTTACTGCTTTCTGTAACCATTACAAAAACGTAATCTAATATCCTGTCGTTTGGTTAGTAGTTAGTGCTTATAAAAGTGCCTGATTCAACTTATGAACAAATTCGACTTATGAACAAACCTACAGTCCCTATCTTGTACGTAACCCGGGGACTGCCTGTATATACAGTTGCAAGAAAAAGTATGTGAACCCCTTGGGATTATGTGGAGTTTTGCATGAATTGGGCATAAAATGTGCTCTGAACGTCATCTAAGTCACAGCAATAGAAGAACACAGTCTGCTGAACATAATACTACACAAACATTAGATGTTGCCATGGTTTAATTGCACATAACATGTAAACATTCACAGTGCAGGGAGGAAAAAGTATGTGAACCTTTGGACTTAATAACTGGTTGACCCTCCTTTGGCAGCAATAACCTCAACCAAACGTTTCCTGTAGTTGCAGATCAGACCTGCACAATGATCTGGAGTCATTTTGGACCACTCCTCTTCAGAAAACTGTTTCAGTGTAGCAATATTCTTGGGATGTTTGGTGTGA